AATCTCGATCTCCCCTCTTTCAGTTTGAAACCATTACCCCTCGTCCTGTCACCGCAGGTCCTGGTAACACATTGTTCTGCTGTAGCAGGACTTTCTGCGCAGTACACTGCCACTCTCCTGCTGCTGGTCTCTGCCCTTATTTTTTGGTGTCTTTATTTTTTGGTGTGGGTTTCTTTTAACTGCTTACCTTGATCTCCAACTTAGCTGAGCTTACTTTCTCTTTAAAATGCATTTTCACACCGTGTTCCAACATAGGGGAAATCTGAAAGGAAATTTGTACAAAAGGTATGTATTCTGAGGGTTTTTTGGTAGTTGTTTAAATCTAGAGGTTGGTTTTTTCCTCCCACCCCCAGGTTTGAGACAGACAGGCTTTTCTGCTCTCAAAAATACGGGAGTTCATGCTTTCTGTGGAGCTCCAGGACTTCATGTCATCTCAGAAGCACCTCTACCCGTTCACCGCTTGTCCTTTCATTTCGGCGCAGCACGGGACTTGTGCACCGCCATAGCCTAAAAGATGACTGATCTCAGAATGAAAAGAAAACCAAAGGGCTGGACTCGTGCACAAAGATAATTTGCATCTTTCATCTCTGTTGAAGAGGGAACAGAGGCCTTCAGAGCACAATCACCCGACTACAGGGAGGTTCTGGTCTCTCAGATGTTTGCAAGCGTAGGAATATGGTGCCAGGACAGAGCTGCAGCCACAGGGAGATGGAGCAATCTAGAAGCAAGGGCAAATAATTTGCTAAAAATGAAGCGTTCGAACACCCCTCACCTCCACATTTTACCTCTTAGTTAGACATAAGGGAGGAGGGTCAAGAACCTGGCAGAAAGGAAAAGGCTGAACTAACACGGAAGGGTCATAACTTTGTGGTTTGAAAACCCGTTGTCGTGTTTACCCGTTTTTCAGATTTAATTACCCATGGCATCTGCGGGGGGGGGGGAAGCCTAGCTCTGAGCGCTTTTAATGGGAAATTCATAATCAGGTTGCTGAAGGCCATTGAAATTCATTAGGCCAATTCTTAGAACTCTGCAAGTAAACAATGCAATTATCAAGCGAAGAACACTTAAAACTGCATAAATGTATTTGGAACAAACCTGAGGTATTAACTCAAACCATGGTGTGGCTTTCGCATATCTTATTTTTAAAATGCAGAAGAACTAAGTGGGTGGGTACGCTCACTGCCAAACACACAAAGCAAGTTCTTGGGAAGACGATGGAACGGGGCAGGCATTAAAACAGGACCATGGGATACCAGCTCGGGTTCCAGCTCACAGAGATGGGTTTCCTCTGGATTCCTGTCTCGCTTGTCTCAGTTCTCAAATCTTTTGACCCAGTCAGAGACACAATCGCTACTTTAATCTTATTTCACCCCGATCTGCCAGTTTATTCCCAGAGGCAGGCGCTAGGAATGGGGAGCAGGCTGTCTGTCTTTTCAGTTTATAATTTGCTAATGCACCGTTTGCAGGACTTCAAATCAAAGGTTGAAGGCTTGTAGGTGCCGGGCTTTGCACCGAGGCTGCCTGATGTCCCTTCAAAACGCTGGTCGGGTTGCGCTCGGTGTGTCCATCAGCCCCTTTTTTTTCCAGCCCGGTTCTGGCGGCTGCCAGCTCGCGCGCGCTCCTTCGCAAAGAGAAGGGCCGGGGACCGACCCGCTGGGCGGCGGAGCAGCTGGGGTGGAATCTCCTGGCACCCAGCCCAGGCGCGGCTCCGCTTGAATGAGAGCGTCAGGGTGGGAGTTCACTGCCCACCGGGAGATGGTTTTCCTGGTGGGAAGGAGGGAAGTGGCGCGTGTGAGAAGTCCTGCCCTATCCATGCGCGTTCCCATGATTTGGGCGACGAGCCCGTCATTTTCACAAATTATTTATGGCCGTAGTTGAAAGCAGCGATTTAATAAAGACACCGTTTTGAGCTCCGCTTGAATTTTTTTTTGATGAATCAGTCCCAGCTGCTTCCACCATGTAGCAAAGCAATTTCAGGCACCAAGAGGGAAATTGGGCTTCCAGTGACTGGAGCAGCCCAAGTGGAGCAGCTGCTTTTGCGGGAGCTGACAAAGGTGACCCGGGAAGCTGTGACGAGAGCAGGAAGATACGGATGGAAAAGGCTTGCAGCAGATCACCTCCGTCTTGCCACCAAAATTTTGTGCTGATGGTAGTGAAACGTAGCAGTTTACCTTTAAAAAAAGAGAAATCCGTGTCTTTGCACACTGCAGCTCCCCGTTTCAGAAGTGGAACCTTCTGTCTCCTACCAGTTGCCAAAGGAAAGGAACAATTAAGAGGCTGCAGCACAAAGCCGGGTAGGACGCACCTCTGAAAGGCACCTGGCGGTGCTCAGCGGGCTGTGCGCCTCCCATGATGTTGGGGAGGACAAAAGACGTAGCAGCAGTGTGAGGAGCCCACGGGATTTTTCTCAAATGCAGGCCCTGGGCTGAGCAGGTTTGTTGGCTGTGGCTTCATCACTAATGTGTCACATTATTATGAAAATATTTTTAAAAACCCACCAAACTCTGGAGGTGAAAGATTAAGTATTTGCTCAGCTTCTCCTAACAGCATAACGCACATACTGCAGCCCACAAACTGGAATTGTCTTCTCAGTACAAGCCTTACAAAGTCTCTTCCTATTTAAGGCTGCCTTAAGGCCCAAAAGCTCGTGAAATAATACAAATATAGGACTGTGATCAAGAGAGTCAAACCACATCTGCTATAAGATAATGACATTTAATGCAAGTCTTCACACTCTGCAGACTGGTAGGAACTGGTTCTGCTGGCATTCCCTCGGGATGACCACAGTCTTCTAGGTCAGTGCTTCACCTTCTACTTCACACCACAAGGCCGGGTCCTGCCCTTGGGTCACAACAACCCCACGCAGCGCTACAGGCTTGGGGAGGAGGGGCTGGAGAGGTGCCCGGCGGAAAAGGACCTGGGGGTGCTGGTCGACAGCCGGCTGGACATGAGCCAGCAGTGTGCCCAGGTGGCCAAGAAGGCCAACAGCCTCCTGGCC